TTTGCCTTGGCTACTCTATGTTTAAGAAAACATTTCAGAGTCTCTTGTGAACCCATTGCGATCTTTTATTTCCTGTCTTCTTAATTGCTTTAGGCTTTCTTCATTAATGATGCTCTGGATGTCCACCTACAGCTCATCGAGTCTTCTGTCATTAGTGTGGAATGCAGCAAATTTATTCTTGAAGTGTTTTTAATATTCAGACTCAAGTTTGTATTTGGCTCTTGTAGACCTGGCTTAATTGTCTTCAGCTTCAACCTGAACTTACATATGAGCAATTGCTGGTCTGTTCTACTCTCAGCCCTTGGCCTGGTTTTAGCTGTTGATATTGACCTTCTCCATCATCTCTTCCCACAGACGTAGTCGATGTAATCTCTGTGTATTCCATCTGGAGAAATCCCTGGGCATAGTTGCCTTTCGTGTTGTTGAAAAAAAGTATTTGCTATAAACAAGTCTTGCAAAATTCCATAATATGATCTCTGGCTTAATTCCTATCACCAAGTCCATATTTTTCCAATGACTATTCCTTCCTCTTTGTTTCTAACTTTTGCATTTCAATCTCCAATAATTATCAATTCATCTGGATTGCATGTTTGATCGATTTCTGCCTAAATCATTGGTAGAATTCTTCAATTTCTTCCTAACTAGCTTTTGTGGTTGGTGCATTCATTTGAATAATAGTTGTATTGATTAGATTTATTTGAAGGTGGATAGATAAAATCCTATCACAGACAGCATTGTACTGCAAGATGGATATTAAAATATCCTTTTGTCAATGAATACAATGCCATTCCTCTTGAATGTATCATTACCATCATAGTAAACTAGGATGTTCTTGATATCATCCCACAGCTCATCGGGTTTTCTGTCATTCGTGTCCAGTGTGTCAAATATGTTTGCAGGGGCAATGAATTATTTAATGTGACTCTTCTAACCAAAAGGTCCCAAACAACCTTTCCCTGCATGAGTTTGGTAAGAAGGTGGGGAAAAGATATTACTAGGATTCATCTGTGAGTAGTTGGGAATAGGATTCCCTGGAGTATCACCCTGCTGTATATAAATTGAGCCCTCTGAGAAGCAGGAGGAGAAATCTCATTACCAGAAAGAAACAGGAGTGGGGTGTGTCCTTTGAATCTGAGATCCCTGCACAGTGAACCTCCTGGATACAGATGAGAAGCTATACCACCAGAGCAGCAGCAGTAGAACCAGGAGTCAGAGAATGGAACAGAATGATGAACCTACAGAGCAAGTTTAGTCTTTTTGTGCTGGAAGCTGGCTTGTGGAGTGGGGGCCTATAGGGAACCTGAACTTACTGACCCATGAAAGTGGAGCTGAATGTTTTCAGGCCTAGTCTTCCTGGAGTAGGGCGCTTCTGGATTCTTAATTCAGGGAGCTGAGTGTGCTGACCCATGTAGCTGAATGCTTTTATGTGGAGGCTTACAACAGAGTGGTATGCCCATTTGGGAATTTATTGCCAGATCTGAAACTTTGTAACATGTCCTGGTAAACAACTATCCTGGGGATTACTCATTGGCTTGTTAGCTTGTTAACTTCCTTAATAAACTCTTTAAAAATGAATTTTGTCTGTGAGTTTCTGTGTGGCCATTGCAAAGGGTATTAGAACTCAATGAAGTAAAATCGAGAACATTAAGACAATATGTTTGTCTTGATATGTTCTCTAAGATCATATTTTTTCTCCTGTACCCTTGTTTTAATTTTCTTCAATTCAATCTGACTTTATACATGAGAACTGTATGGCCTGTTCCACCTCCTCTGGCCTTGTTTTGGTTCTTGATATTGAACTTCTCCATTGCCTCTGCTTACAGATGTCGTCGATTTGATTTCTGTATGTTCAATATGGCGATGGAACAGCTATCATTTATATTAGTGAAAAACATCAGCAAGTTGCTGGTTGATCTTCCCTGGAAATGGCCCCCTATCTTGGATTCAGAGTTTGTCTCTTCTGATGGGCGGTTGGGCATTCAGCAATGGCAGTAGCCAAGCCGGCTTTGGTGAGTGGAAGTCCATGCTGCTGAGACCATGGACAACCTCTATTCCTGTCATCACGGCCACATTGCTCATGGACCCAGGGGGCAATGATAGGGTGGTGGAGGAAAGAGGATAACTGGTTTCTACAAAACATGTCATCCTGTTCATTTGATTGCTAAAATTCTCCTCCGAAGAGGTAACCTCTTTGAGAGTATTCACATGAGACACAAATATCTTCACTTTTTGACCCACTCAGAGAGACCTATCCATATACCTCTTTCCCAAACATCTTTGTCACCAATTTTCCAAACATGCTGATCCAAGCCCCTGATCATGCAGCCAAACCATTAAGCAAAGCCTATGAATCAGTACACAGTCTCACATCTGGCCATTTACTCTTCCTAACAAAACAACCAGGTGCACTGCTGGTTCTATTCATTGAGAGGATTTCCCATCACCATTGTCCTTTAGGGAAGTCCCAGAATGCGCTGCTGCTGTCCACTTTCAAGTAGCACCTACACGCTGAACCATCTGCACACAAAGCACAGGTTTGCTCTTCCTCATTCACCTGATCATAAAGAACTCGCCGGGAGGCCACGGGTCTTCTGAAGGTCTTCCTTTTTTCAGATGGGCACCTGGCTTTATCTTCCAGTGTCTCACTTTCTTTGTGGCATCTTGGGAGGTTTGAATGAGTTCATGTGTAAAGTGAACGTACTACAACACCTGGCATAGACAGGACAAGGGCTCAGGAAGATGCAGAGAACCACATGGAGGAGGAAGGCCTCCAGACGAGGAGGAGAAGGGAAAAGGTAGAAGGACGAAGCTACAGACCATGGAGGTACTCCAGGTTCTGAGCAAGGTCATCTTAATCCTCGGTGGTTCTCAACCTTCCTCAGGCCACGACCCTTTAATACAGTTCCTCGTGTTGTGGTGACCCCCCAACCATAAGCTTATTTTTGTTGCTACTTCATCACTGTAATTTTGCTACTGTTATGAATCGGGCAACCCCTGTGAAAGGGTCGTTTGACCCCCAACGGGGTCATGACCCACAGGTTGAGAACCACTGCATGGGATCAAACCTAGCAACAACTGTGGGACTGACCCAGGCTGACTGTCGCAGGGGATCGGGTGGCACTTGCTCTTGTCATACAGGGTGACTCTGCATCAAGGTCATGGACTCCATGGGACCATCAGCAACAACAAAAATGCGAACTGGAGTCCCTGCCTGGCTGCGAGCCCCACAGTTGGTGGTTTTGAGTCCCAATCAGTGGTGATTACCTGGGGTGGGGGTAGGGGGGGCGGCACTGATGAAAATGAAGAGTCATCAAAGGTGTATGTCTTTCACAGATTACAATAAACTTATTTTCTTTTTCAACTCCTGAAAAATAGTTCCACAAAAATGCAGCCTAGCTTTTATTAATTTTGTATATACCACCTTAAAGGACCATTGTGTGTTACAAAAATTTTTAACCGCAGAAACAGAGGTATCAGTGTATAAGAAAGTTCCCTATGTGCCTGTCACTAGCTTTACCGGTTATCAATAGGTGGCCATTTTTACTTTACCCATTCCCCACCCACTTCCTCAACACTGGATTATTTTTAATCAAATCTCAGGCACTATGCCATTTAAACATAAATATTTCAGTATGTATCTCTAAAAGATAAGATATGTCTTAACAAAGTAGCAGGTAAAGGCTTTGCTGAGGGAAGTGGTGGGAGAGAAGTGTTTTAGCCTCGGCAACTCACATAATGTTCTAGCAAAATCACGCTCCATACACACACACACACACACACACACACACCCCTCAGTGTCTTCATTCCATCAAGATTTACTTTTCACTCATGTAAAGATCTATGTGAATTGGGCAGGCTTTGCTATCTGAACCGTATGGTCTCTATTTCATTTTCATTGGCCAGCTCTAGTCCCCTGGCCTCAGTCTAAGCAGAGGTGAGGCTGAAGATGTACCAGAGAGGATTATCTGAATCCTGGAGTGGGCCAGCTGTCTAAGCCATAAGAGATTTGTACTAGATGATTATTCTAGACTTTTTAGCCACTTCACAAAGAAAAGATGGGGCAAGGTCTTTTACAGCAAAATTTTATACCATTATCATTTAAGAAGATACGATGTGGCAAGATTAACTGTGCAGACTCTCGAGAGGTTGTTTCTGGGTGGTAGCTCCAACTCTATTACTCACTACATGTGATCTTGGACAAGGCAGCTAACTACTCCCTTAGCCTTAATTTATCCATCTGCACAATAGAGATGAATGTTGACATCCACATAACAGAGACTTTGTAAAGATGAATTGAAGTGGGCTGTATAAAATGTACCACAGAACATGTGCTCTAAATATTCAGCCATTCATAAACATGAACTATTATTAATATAAGCATATATGAGTGATATTGGTAGCTATGGGATAAAACAAAGAATACGAATATGAAAAAGGTTCTTAGATACAAATCTAAACATACACACTCAAAAATCATTTCCTATATAATCAAGAATATGACAGCATGAGTTAATGTGGACATGCACACACACACACAGAGACAGGAAAAAATATGTTGGGAAATGTAAAGGGGGCTGGAAATCCCTGTGTCATTCATAAAGTAATTGATTTCATGATAGTCTCATAAATATTTGCTCAGAATGAACCCTAGAGGATTGAGGTAGGGGTTTTCATATTCTCTCTGGAAAAGAGACTGCACTTTACATCTCCACTTTCTGGGACCCCAAAGAACTTCCCCTACTGAAAATGGAACTAAAATAGTTTTGCTCAGCAACCCAGAGAAGCAACAAAGAAGTTTGGGTTTGGGTTTAAAAAGAAAAAAGGAAAAAAAGAAAAGAAAAGAATTGTAGGCTCCCAAGAATAGGAGTTTCAATAAATACTAACCACAATTGCCAGAAATGTGAAAGCCACAGTGTTGAGTTTTTTCAGAGTGTATCCAATGGCGGTCCAACTGAGAAGCTAACAGGCACAACACAGAGAACACAGGACTTCCCAAAGGAATACTGACCTGGTGGGGGACTTACAATGATCACAAGCATGGTGTTCTCAGGGCGAGATCCATCCATCGCACTCGGATGTGCTGACTTGTGCAATTTCCCCAAATGTGGGAAACCCAATGTCATAGTTTGTGGTAGTGGGGGGCTGCACTTGCGCTCTCTTATTTAACAGAGAAAGAAATCCTAAAGGGAAAATGTATTTGGTGAAGATGAGCTCATAACTGAAAACTAAAAATCATAAGCCAATCTTGGGTCTTCTGTAACTCTGATTATCCCTTCACTGCTGGATACTTTTGAAGTAAACTTTATGCATGATGCCATTTCAATCATAAATATTTCAATATGCATCTCTAAAACATAAGGATTCTTATCAAGAGATAATAAAGTAAGTCACCCGGGGGGAGAGTCATATAAAAAATAATAAGAGAATTGATGTGCAAAAATTGAAATAATAAATTAATGTGAAGGATAAATAAAATATATTTTACATTTTTACTGGAGTAAAATAAGAAATAGAAAACAGAAAGAAAAAAACAGGGAATTATGAAAACAAGCGAACCAAAATATGTAGATTTAAAAATGAAGCAAATACTTATATTCAACCAAACACTTCATAGAACCATGCAAACTACAGCCTCCATGACCCTGAGACCAGGATGTGGTGCCAAGCTACTACTACTGACTGCTTGGACAGGGATCACCACAGAAGGTTCTGGATAGCATGAAAGAAAGATGCAGAACAAAACTCAAACTAATAAAAAAAAGATCAACCTTTCTGATCTGACAGGGATTGACAGAACCCCTGTGACAATGGTCTTCAGCCTCCTCCCAGGTCTAAAATGAAGCTCACTGCTGTGTCTTGACTTTCCACCGTGCAATAGAGCGCTCTATCTGGTAACACCAAGGCGCAAGCACCCCTGGGACAATCAGCCATGGATCAGGAGGGCGGCTTTTGCTCAGGGATGAAGCTTGGAAGGCAACAGGAACAGGAAGGAAAGGTGGAAAGAAATGAGAGGCGTGGGGAAGAAGCGAGAAGACCACTGAGAAGATCGCATTGTGGGGGTTGCAATCAAGGTGGTGAAATCAAATATGTATGAATTGTTGAATAGAAAATCCATTTTCTCCACAAGGTTTCACCTAAATCAGAGTTGTTGTTATTGTTGTTGTTGTTGTTGTTTAAAGAAGAAATGCATGGAGTTGGTCAGGAAGCCTGGGCAGATGACCCAAGAAAGGTCTAAGAAAGGTCATCTCACTGAAAAATAAGCATTCAAACCAAGCAAAAGCATATTAATTAAAAACAACAACTGCCTTGAGCATTATACCTTTTAAAGAATTATCTCCATTGAATCAAAATGACAGTAGAAACTCAAAAGATTAGACAGAAGCCTTACAGAACAGTGATTTTATATTGATGGTCGTGAAATGATTTGAAAAAGGATAGGGCTTATAGCCACCACTCAAAGAGTGTTTCAATTTCACTGAATTGTACCTATGGAACTTGTTGAATTATGGTATGTTTTGCTGTATATTCTCGACAAAAACAGCAAAATTAAAAAAAATACTTAGAAATGATAGCCGCATAAAGGTGATGATTGAATTTTAAATCAAATGGATATGATCTAGCTTAAAGTAAACTCAAAAAGACTGAGGAATTTAAAAAAAATCGAAGTTAATAGACAAGGGGAAGAACTGAAAGTATCCAACACACATCTAATGGGAATGTTGACGGACAAAGAGACCATATTCCACGGACATAGTGGACAGTACTCTGGACTTTCGGTCAGACTTGAATGTTCAGATGGAAGAATCCAATTGTAAGCAAGAGCCATAAAAATAAATTTACACGCAAATAGCACACAAGTGAAATGCCAAAAACCAAAGGCAAAGAAAGGCTGCTTAAGAACAAGCAGACGAACATCTTACGTAGAAACAACTAACAGATGGACAAAGATTTCTTTTTGTAGATTGCAGAAACGAAGATAGTATAAATGCTGGTAAACGCATCAATGACCCAGAACAAAAAATTATATCATTGTGAATGAGGGGGAGTGCGGAGTGGAGACCCAAAGCCCATCTGTAGGCAACTGGACATCCCCTTACAGAAGGAGGAGGAGACAGGCCAGTCAGGGTGCAGTATAGTACCGATAAAAATTCAACTTTCCTCTAGTTGTTTAATGCTTCCTCCCACCACCCCACTCTCATGATCCCAGAGGATGTACACTTGTATACAAACCTCTTTCTTATATACATGAGTGTGTCTATGAATTACACTGCAATGACCTGCTACCTGCCAGGTCAGCAGTTCGAAGCCACCAGTGGAAGATGGGGCTTTCTAGTCTCATAAAGCAGTTATAGTCTCAGACACTCACAGGGGCAATTCTGCTCTGTCCTATAGGGCTGCCATGAGCGAACATCATCTTGATGGCAGTTAATTTGCAGGGTTTTTTATGAATAAGTTGGAATTCAACTAATGAACACAATGATGTGAAAGAAGTAAAGGGTGACGAGTTCAAAGACTTCAAGTCACGGTCCTTAAACTCCCCTGAACATTAGCATCACTTGAAAGAGCGCTTTAAAGTTCCACTGCTAAGACCATATTCTATACCAATTAAATCAGAACTTCTGGGAATGGGACCCAGGAACTGCTATTTTAAATAATTTTTCAAGTGATGGTAATATGCTGACTTAAACTTGACCGTCTTTGGAATCACCTAAGAAGTTTTAAAAGGCGTGAAGAATCTAATGGAGTATGGTGTGGTGGTTACATAATCTGGTGTCAATTTGGAATTTGAGGGGATGAAGAGTGAAGGGGTGGAATCTAGTCTGTCAATCGGATCATCGCCAGTGAGGCCTCTGTGTGGCCAAGGCCTTCCCCTGAGAATTCTGGGACATCCTGTGATTTCCTCCTCGGGGGGCGGGTGACAGAATCTCTCTCTTGGCTCACTCCCGTGGAGACTCTCTACTGACAAGACACATGGCACTATGCTGATAGATCGTGTGTCCTGGGAACTGGAGAAGCCATGTGGAGACACCTGCTAGCGCTGACACCCCTGCCAGCGCTAAGATGCTTACAATGCCACTGGATCCAAAGACTTTCTACTCATTGGCCTGTGATCATCCTGCATTCAGTGTCATTGCATGTATTTCGTGAGTCTGAAGAGGACTTTATAGATTGGTAGAGGACATATGGGCTAATCTCAAACTTATGGACTTGATCTGGACTGGGCTGGGATATTTTCTCAATATTCAATTGCTCTTGCATATGAACCTCTTTCTTATATACATGATTGTGTCTATGAATTTGTTTCTCTAGTCTACCCGGACTAACACATATGGCAATGGAAAAAAACCTCACAAGGGCACAAGCTACACTTATATTGGTGGCCTTCTCCACAAAAAATAATGAGTCACCAGGCATTCCAAAATGAGAGATATAGTTTGGGTTATTCCACTAACCATTCAGATTTAAATCTATCACCCTCAGAGCCCATGGTGCAAAGGCAATCAAGTTGTTGCTGTGACACTGGGCTCTGTTTAATGTTATAGACATCATGAAGGGCTGCCGAGTAGCAATTTGTTCTGCCACCAACCAAGAAAATGATAAGGACGTGTAGAAAAGAAGAAGAGCAGCTTTCATTTGCTGGATGTGGCAAACACAATAATTACATGTTTTCCCTTAAGAAGCACTTAAATATGCTTTCAATTCACATGTATGGAAAGTATTTAAATGTTTTTCCTCCCAAATGTTTTCCCTGTAAAATTAGCATGTGGCACACTGTCTCTGGTTCTGGATAAGGTGTTACATTGGCTTGAAGCCCCTGCTCCCCAAGAAAGGCTTGGAGAAACCACTCAAGCCAGGGGAAGGTTGGCGGATTCTCTAAGCCAACACTGGACACTGAAAACCTCGAAGGCAACTGACCTTGGATGAAGCCCAGGGAATGGGTGGTGGTGGTAATCCAGAGTGAAAGAGGGCTGGCTCTTTGCATGGTAAAGAGGTTAAGGAAGGGTACACGTTGGGGGTAACTTAATTCTTCCCACATTGAAGTACTGGCAGCATGTTTTGAAGGCTGTTCCTCAGTTTTATAGGTTTGTCCATCACTGCTGTAAGGCAAAAAGATAGTAGTGTGCCAAAGAAGCTAATCAAGAGTATTCACGAACTCTTGCAAATCAATGAGAACAAGGTAGGAAATATTCTCTAATATGAGCAAAGCTATGAATTGGAAAGGGAAATGGAATAGCTAATAAAGAGGAAGCATTGTTCTATCTTTTTAGTTATTAAATTAAAATACCACATCAGTGGAATACAACCACACACATTATAGGCAAAACTGAAATAGTTAGAAAATGAAGATTTTGAAGATGAGGTAGATTGTGAGAAGCTTCATTCACTACTAGTTGTGCTAGTGTAGTCTAATTCTAAACAGCAAACTGGTGGAGGTGGTGGTGGTGGTGGTGGTGGGGTGGTTGACGTGGAGATGG